CAGAGTTTTGGTACAACGACTTTCAAGTTCTAGGGGTTGACTTCCGCAATAGTTGTTTAAATTGTTTATTTAAAACCTTTGGAGTTTATGGGAACTCCGTTTCTATCCATCATTTAAACCTGCTTCTGTATCTTTAAATGTTTAGTTTTTCGTTAAATTGCTTAGTTGGGTTGTCGTAATGGTTCTACCACCGGAGAGTTAGTGTGGGTGCCAATCACGACTGGCTAGGTTGTGACATCGATAATCGTTGTAAACTGATTATTTATAATAATATGTCACTTGTTTTGTTTATATTGAAGTCTTTTCCCAAGAAGTTGGACACCCATGATTTCTTTTCTTCCTTAAAATTGTTATCACATGTCACTTGTATAATCTCTGGGGAAGGTTGAGTCTAAATATTCTTCCATTAATGCATTCCTCTTAAGGATGTATTTTAATATCACATCCAAAAATGGTTTTCTGGAATTTCTACTAAACCCAACTTTTTCAATTTATGAACATTTGGTTGCTTTTATTATGAATTTATGATCCACTATTCGATAAAACAATTCCCCAAATGGGATCGTCATCATAATGTACATCATCTCTCTTGAACATTTTATCTGTAGAACCATCCAAATCTGTCTTACTTAGATTCCTCATCTTGAAGAATCTTTAGCATTTGCACTATGCTGAGACAAAGTGCAATCTAGATCTTTTCTAACTCGCTCTCTCTTCTTACCTCTACCTTTTCCATCAGCCCCTTTACTAGCACTTCTTCTACTGAAGTCTTTTCCCATCGAATTGGAAACCTTTGCCTTATTTTCTTTAATACGACTGTTATCACATGTCTCTTCTATAATATCTTGGGGGGAGGTTGTTTCTTAGGATTCTGGCATTCTCTCCATTTCCTCTTAATTAAGGGAGTCTTTAATATCACATCCAAAGAATGACTTTCTAGATTTTTTGCTAAAGTCAAATTGTTCAATGAATCAACCTTTGGCTGCTTGTGTTTATATATATCTATTACCTTTTCTGATCTAGTGCCTAGAAATCTTACCTTGTTATCAATACCAAGCAATCTATCCAAGCATTCTTTGATTTTCTTGGAGTCTTTTATTGTTTTCAACTTGAGTTCCTTCACCTCCAACATATTCTTTCTTAAAATGATTCCAAATTTCTTTTGGCGAGGGAGAAATATAATTCTCTTTAAAATAGTTGTTGAGACAACAACAAACAAAGTTGCTTTCGTCGTGGACTTCATAGATTTTCTTTTCCTTGTGACTCTTAATTTGTGCTATGGTTGGATTATTTTGTAACAGATTAATTTCATAATCCTCTTCCACGGCTTCCTTCCGTTAAAGGTTCTCAAAGCAATTTCCATTATCACAACACATAATTGGTAATTTTCATTATTAAAAACAGCATGAGTCATTCATGAAAAACAATTTTTGAAATCCATCTCTTCACGCAAAGGTCCCTTCAGAAAAATAGCTCTAGATCCCACCTATCAGTTTTTGAAAGAAAATAAATGCAGGAAAATAACAATGGAAGAAAAGTTGAAGGATAAATTATGTATTTCACTATAGAACTTTATATTATTGATGACTAACGAAAGACATGTATTTACAGACTAAAAACCAAACTGAAATAGAAATCAATTCCTAAATACTAGGTGTCTAACTTAATAGAATTATTGCAACAGGAATATCTGTAGTTTTATATCAAACATTCAACATATATACAAAAGATTCCAAGGCCTTCAATCTTGACCCTCACATGTAAAGCTCTTAAACTTCTACATTATTGTCTTGTAGCCACATCAAGAAAGTTCAAAGATTGTTCGCATCAGCTTTGGGATGCTTTTGAGTAAACTCAAGAAGAGCGGTACATTTGAAGTCAGGATATAGTCGAGGGTTGTTGTAGTCCACCAATTCAGTTGGTGGACTCACCACCTTATCTTTGTCTGGACAAAGAAACAAAGCAAATGATTTTCTACGAGTCTTGTTGTTAACCACTACTCTATGCAAGATACTTTTGTATCTACCATTCAATAGGGTCTACAAAAGGACAAACACCAAATATGTTATATTCAAGTTGTAAGTCTAAGAACTCATGATGTATATCATTGCCCGTCATGTGGAAAGATCTTATAATGTTTTTCACCAAAACAATGTATTATTTGTTTAATTGATTATGTTTACATTATTTGTATGTAATAGATAATACATTAGCTTATTATATAGTACTAGTTTGTAAATTTTCTTACCATAAATGTGTCACCTATGTTAACCACAAAAGCATTAAAATTTGGCCGAACGGAGTACTATTCGTTGTCCACAAAAACCTGAAGTCCTGAATTAAGGCATAATTGATGTGCCGCGAAATCTTGGCACATTTGATGCTTGAAAACTAAGGATTAATAATAGAATTGAGTGTATTTATGTGGATATAATGTGTTTGGTAGTGCTTGTACAGGTGAAACAAATGGAAGTGAAAGAAGATAGCAAGGATGAAAATTCAGTAAAATTGGTAGTAAAGACCATGGACGACCTTATGGGCAGTGGTCATCACTACAGCCCATGGTTCATGTCGTGGTAGTAAGACAGTGAAGGAGCTTCTGAACGTTGAAGATAAAAGTTACCAAGTGAAGACCACAGACGACTTCACGAGTTGTGTTCCTCACAACGACCCGTAGTGCATGTCGTGGTAATGAACCAGTGAAGGGGCAAAGAAAGTTACAAATTGATCGTGGCCAAGTTAAGACCATGGCCACCTATACAGGCCGTGGTCATTTTCACGATCCGTGGTGTTGATCGTGAAGTGGATCAAGTGTTTAAGTGGTAAGAAGTTGAAATGCAGTTTCGACCAAGTGAAGACCACGGAAGGCCCCACGGACCGTGGTCCTCATTACGGTCTGTGATCGTGATCGTGAAGAATTTCCAGTGTCAACTGTTGAAGACCCACTTTTGGGGAGTTCCAAGAGAAGACCACGGAGTGCTTCACGGACCGTGAAGCCCTTGACAGGTCGTGGAAGTGGCCGTGAAAGGGCCTGACAATTCAGTCCTACTTCAAGTAGGACTCTTTTTAAAACACATATTTGAATTAATTAGGTTGTTTTTATGTTTTATCTTATCATTCATAGAAAGACGAACAAGTTTGCATTATTCATATCTTTTGGTTTTTGATTTTTGGATATTGAATTAAATTTGAAGTTCGATTTTCCGGTTCTTGAAATATCAAAGTAGTTGTTGATTGCTTATTCTCATAAGTACTTTCTAACATGATTATTCTATTTTTCTGAACATTTACGTGAAATCATGAGTGGCTAAACACCACAACGGGGGTTGTGGGATCCATGATGGAATTGTAAATGCATTAAATAGAATGAGCATGCATTTGTCATTAGTTCGAGACAGAAATGATAATTAGGAAAAAGCTAAACTAATCTAACGAAATTGAGTCAAAGTTTGAGTTCAGGAGAAAAGAACCTTAACACCATTGTATGCGAGGGTAAATTGTGTAACACTCTAGGACCGAGAGGACTTGAGTGAAGAGTATCTGAGGAGGCTGAGAAGTGTCAGATATAGCTAACTCACATATAGTTTGTAGAGGTAAGTTGCCTGAAACTCAATTATGGAAGAACATTAGACGCAATGTTATGGAGAAAAAAATCCGAGTTTCAGTTAAATTATTGAAACAACTTCAAAACTAATATTTTGTCAACTGTTGAGTTAGAGTTTAGTTTGAAAATTTGGTTACCAAATCATTAACGCTAAACCCAATTTTACTTTCCCAATTGTTTATTTTAGGAAATAATTACGACATTTGGGGTAAAACGCGACAGTGAAATCATTTTTGTAAAGAAATTCTCTGTGGGATCAATTTCAACTCACGTTGAGTTCTATAAATCGACTTCGACCGTTTATATCTCTTAATTGAGGTGTAAATTTGGACATATCAATAATACATAAAATATTGAATTCAATAAATAGGACATATAATTTAATAAGATACAATATTTTGATGTATTCATATTACTTTATGTATCATAAATTATTATTTTTATGTAAACTCAATAAATATGATACATAAATTATTAGGATGAAATAATTTTGATGTAATAAACATTAACATTTCCTGAATCTCAAAAGACTCTTTAAATTAATAAATATTACTTTATCTATTAAATTATACATCGACAAATTAATAATCCTTTGTAGTCTCACCTGTATTAATTTAGTGTTTTACTATATTTTTATTTTAAGAATAAAAGTTATTTGTTGCTGTATAAGGAAATCTATTTAAATAAAATCAATCGGAAAAATTCATTAAATATCTCTACCTATGATTCTACTATATTATGTGTAGATATGTTACATTCTGTACCAAAATTATACCCCAATTTTAAGCATTATTAAGCCATTCTTAGCAAAATATTTGGACCCATTTTTGATATTTCAAAGCTTTTTAAGGAAAAGATTTCCAACTCTGATTTGAAATCTATGGTTAAACAAATCTTTAAAATATTTCCTTTTTTTAAAATTTGCTTCAAATTATATGAAAACTTTCTGGCCACAAAATTAAGCACTATTAAGCCTTTCTCAGCACACTCTTTGGACCAGTTTTTGATACTTGGGAACTTTTTAGGGAACTTTTTTTCAAAATCTATGGTCAAACATATCTTTGAAAGCATTTCCTTTTTTATAATCTGATTCAAACAACATATCAACTTCTATCCAATTTTTAAGCATACTAGAGCTTGAAGGGTAATCAGTGGGAAAGATTCGTTAGTTGTTTCATCGGATGAGTATGAAGAATGGGAAATTGTTGGCCCAAAGAACAAGTACTCAGGACTTCATTCCTTCAAACTTGAGTGCCATTATTTGGGGGGGGGGGGAAAATTGAATAGCCTTGTAAAAGTGAGAGGGAACAAAGCCTCTGCGATAGTTCAACCATCTTTGGTATTCCATCTTGATATTTCACACGAAGCTGTTCTTAAAATTCAAGATGCTCTCCGCCTATTTTCTGCCCCTGAGACACTCGAGTGATATAGAACTACCGTAGGAATGGTTGGAGTGGCTACTGCTAGGAAATCCATCAGCATACAAACATTTCCTAATATGCTGAAGCGGTTTGGTTATGGAAGCTATGGAAGTACCAAATTGCATAAACCTGTGCAATTTGGCACCTCCATAGCTTTTATAACCAAACCTCTTCAGGTGTAAAATCATCATCCTAGGAAGTGTCTGTATGTTGATGGATTTCCTAGCAGTAGCCACTCCAACTATGCTTACTGTAGTTTTATATACCTCGAGTGTGTCAGGGTCAGAAAATAGGCGGAGAGCATCTTGAATGTTATGAACAGCTTCGTATGAAATATCAAGATGGAATACCAAAAATGGTTTAACTATCGCAGAGGCTTTGTTCCCTCTCACTTTTACAAGGCTCTTCAATTGCCCCCCAATAATGGCACTCATGTTTGAAGGAACGAAGTCCTGAGTTCTTGTGACTGCAGACTTGTTCTTTGGGCCAAGAGTTTCCCATTCTTCATCGCCTTTCGTTGAGACCATTTAAAAAATAATGAAATATTATCTAAGTGAAGTATTTCATAAACCTATTTATTTATTTATTTAAGTCAAGTGAAAGAGGAATAATTCAGTTCAGTGATTAATTCAAAATGGGTATCTTTCAGGGATTTCAATGTTCGACTTTAAGATTTGACGGCAAACATTAACAAGTAAATAAACATAATAATAAAAATAAAGAGGGAGAGAGATTTGAGCCCAAATCTGGTTTTCTTGTCCGCCTGGGCCAGTATTTGGGCCCTTTTTCGTTTTGAGCTTTTGGCTCATTTGAATCACTTGTAACTGTCCTAAACTAACATAAAAGTTATTTCTTTGGGCCTTAGGCCCATCTTCCACCTGTCCTAAATAATAATAAGATAAAAATAAAGTAACAAGGGCTTAGGCCCAAAAATAACAAAATACAATCTTCTGAAATTAAGATTGGCCCAATTTTCAATTCTCCAAATTGTTGCGTGTCCTTTCAACTCCGGGACCTGTTCGTCGACTTTAAATGGTCTGTAGACTCGATAAGAGGTAAAATTGGGCATTTTACCCAACGAGGAGATGCAAGGGTAGGAGATGAGAGTCCAAAGGAGACCTGAGGCGGGTTTCACATGTAAAATAAACAGATAAAAATATGTAAGTAGTGATTTAATACAAAAAATATTAAATAGGCCGAACTCATATGTTACTACTCATAATTTTAAGTATCGTAAAGGAAAAATAACTAAAGCGAATTACGTAAACTTTAAATCATTATAAAGCACCTTAATGACCTCAACTAGTTAATAACTAAAGCAGACTTTGCAATAAAAGGGAATCTCAACAGTAAACATTAGAAAAGACACATATGACACTTTCCAAAAATTAGAACAATTAAATCATAACTAGCTAATGACCATTTAATATTGGAAGGAAACCAAAAGCCATTCAGACCAAAATTATGCTTCACAGTAAGTAGTAGAAGAACAAACATACCCTATCAAAGGTGATTAATTAGGAAGCAATTTCGGTACTCTAGGCAGTGAGATACTAAGCATCAAACAACAAGGAGACTGGAAGAATGAGGCAACCAATAACTTATACACAAACGTTGAAATCAATTTTATCATGCTTCAAATAATACTGAAAAGGTAACTTAGCTCACAAATCTATTCAAACATTAACAACTTATGTTCGAACTACTTTCGAGATGAGATCAAGGACTAGTCACGAACTCATAAAATATATTCGGACAAGTAATAACTCGGAGTAAAACATGCATACAAGGAAAATACATAACAACAAATAGAATGAGGATAAGGGGTATGCAGGGGAGACATCAATTTTATTTATTTATTTTTATTTCTTATCGAGGATTTAACACGAATAAGAGCAGCAGAGCTGGTTGGAGAAATCTGGCAATGCTAATAACACAGACAATGGAAAATGAACACAACGGAAAACTCAGACCTCACGAAACCCGACACTTGAATAATAATGACAAAATCGAAACCACACAAAAGAACAAGCAGGTTGTTCACAGGGAAAGAGGCTGGTCATTTCAATTTTAAGGAAACGAATTATATTAGAGTCTATATTACAAAGCTATAATCGTATTGACTGTCAAACGACCTTTCGAACAACATGACTATCAATAAAAAATAACATTCAGCTATTTTTAATATTATAATGACAGCTCGCTATCACCATTAAGGGAATCAGGAAGCATACAATAACTACATAATCAAAATTGAAATATATCAAGCAAACAGAGAACATGAGCTTAACAAAGGGAAAAGGATTACCTTTTTCTGGGCAGCGGCTTCGACAACAAGTTGAGCGAGAGCTTTCCGCGACCCCAAAGGAAACTCCAAGAATCCCAACGAATTCCAGTAACAGTAAACAGGGGAAAAAGAGAAACCGATATCGATGTATTTGGGTTCGTGACCTTGTATAGGTTTGTAGTTTTCTTACTGTATTTTTCCGTAACTAAGGGAGGTTATTACTTCAAATGTATACTCTTCTATATTTTCCTAAATTAAATTTTCTATAGGATTTACTACTGGAAAAAAAAAAACCCTCCATTTGAAGAAGAAAAAGAGTTTATATAGGAGGAACTAGGGTTCATTTTTTTTGGGGGGAAAAGAGGTGAGAAATCCGATTAGAATAAGGCCCAATTTGAATTCGAACTTCAAAAATTTTCACCATTAAAGGGAAACACCTTTTTCTGCGATTTTCGCCCCATTCCGAAAAAGGAAAGGGGAAATTGACGTTAGGGATCGAAGGCTTGTCCTTGGATGTCGACGTGGCTCCATCTCAAGGCGAGTAGGGACGAATTTCGCGGCTACAGCAGGTGCTTTTTCTGCTGGCATCGTACTGTTGTATGATTTGGTGAGGAAGACGACGCGGATAAGCTACTGCTTTTCCGCGAATTGCGATGGCTTTGCTGTTGGAGATGGTTGCTGCTACTTTTCATGTTTTTTGGGAACGTTTTAGAGCTGCTGTGTGTTGTTGGTACTGTTGTACGTCTGGATGGGTTTCTATTGTGAAGCAAAAGGTGGGTCGGGTCGGATTTTGCACTTGGGTCGGTTGGAGAATTGGAAAAAGAAAGGAATTGGAATTGTGTGTTGGGTTTCTTATGGGCTGCTGTAATTGTTTAACTAGGGGTTAGGCCCAAATTTGCTGAATTGGGTCACTAGAAAATGGTCCAAAAATTTGCCTCTTCTTTTGACGAAATGACTAAAAATGCAATACGAATTAATTAATAAGCTTCTTTATTTTGACGAAATAAAATAATTAACATAATTATAACTAATTAATTTAAGATATAAACTATCATATAACTAAAATAATTAGAGTTAGTTTCTCAAAAAATCACTCAACTAAGAGTTTTTTTTTTTAATCTTACAAAATCATTTGCCCTAATTTAACATTAAAAATTCTAACATGACAAAATATTTTTTTTTAATATTATACACAAACCCCACATATGCACAAAAATTCATTTTTCACCAAATCCACTGACAAATTAAATAACGGATTCAAATAAAGGATTAAATCTTTTTAACGCGCATTTTAGCAAGAAATTGAACTCCAAAAATGTTTATGTTATAAATAAGAGAAAAATTATTGTTACTAAAGTAATGAGAAAACGTTAGCCTGGAAAAAAAATATCACAGTAAAGTCGAAATATTCTAAAATGTGATATCAAATAAATAACTTATTGATAAAATAAATTCAAAGTCAACGAAAAAGAAATAAATATTGCACGCATTTGGTATTTGTAAAATTTAGTTAATACCGTATGATACTTAATTGATATGTGTTTCAAAAATAAATTTGTATCATTTAACTAAAGTTACTAATCATAGAAAAGAGCTAAAAAAAAGAAGAAGGTATATCTCATGCTAAAATGCTGAAAATGTTTACTTACCAATAAACCTAAATACGCCATTTTAATTTGGGAGTGTGTGGGTGGGATAAAAGAAATTAATTTTCCTTTATTTTGTTTATTTGATTTGGTTGAGTGATTTTCGAAAAAAAAGGTCATAAGTTGAGTGATTTTTATTGATACAAAATAAAGTTTAATGACTTTACAACATAAATTCTCATGGATGAGTGACCTTTTAAATTAACTCAAATAATTAACCAAACATTTAATTAAAACAAAAATGTTTTTTGAGACGATTTTTCGAATATTTATAAAATATACTGATTTACATACATATTTATGTAAAACGTATATATTATCTAAAAAATTATATAAAAAAGTTGACAAAAATTATTTAAAAATAACTTGAAAAATATTTTGAATTTTATAAAGTCACTTATTTCAAATCGTTGGGAATTTTGAGAAGCTCAAAAATTAATTCCTATCGTGGATGGTAAAAATTGGGTGTCAACAACTGTTCCTCATTTTACTTGAATTGATGCAAGAAATTCGAGGAAAATGAAATTGGCAAATCCCATTTTGACCGACCACATCTTCATCCTTTAGGAGAGGGATTTGGTACGGACTTTAGGAATTATGGCCGAACCCCGGAAATGGGTTTCCTACATATCTCAGGTTATATGGGAATTTAGGCCACTTGTAGTTCGATACGTTTGATTTGACGCACGATTTTGAAAGAATTCAAAAGTTATTCCGATATCGAATTATAAAGAGACCGAAACACTTGGGGATAAGATTTAAGGGAGAATGTTGGAACACAACCAAGTTTTCAATAATGATCCCGCCTACATATCCCCAACTCAGGGAATCAAGCTGCTTGTAGTTCGACTCTATCGGTTGAAAAGGAAATCTATTACGCAAGATATCCTTTGGTTCTAGAGGAGTGACAAGTAAGTCGAGTATGAAAAAAAGGCGTGCAACCTCTTAGCCATGAATGTGGTGCACTTCACACCCATAATTAACAACTTACACGGACATAATTTTCAAAGCTTTCGGTGCATTGTCACTCAGATTGGAAAGTTACCTCCGGTAAAGACCAAAAAATTTCGGATGCGAAACTGAAATCAACAAAACCTAAAGAAAAACCCACATGCCTTCTGATAGAGGTGTGGTTTGATTATGGTGGAAGTCGCTCCTCTGCTCGTGTCCTAAGAGTTTGGCACTGCTTTTTGGACTATGTCCCAGTTCGCTGCTAAGAAAAAGTTCCACGTTGTGCTGCATCCTTTTTGACGTCGTTCGCACCTGTGGTTTGTTTTGGAGAATTCATCCTTTTGGATGTTCTCGATAAAGACTGAGATAAAACTCATTAGCATAAAATGCAATTCAAATGGGGAGATAATGTCTTTTAACGTGTTGACACTTAATTTCTCTCTTTGAATATTGACGTCAACTTCATCGGGTTTGACGTAAAGCAAATAAAGCTTGTATATTGTATTCACAATATAATCTTCAGTGTACTCTTCTTTTGATGTCAAAGTAATAAAATAGACAGATGTAATATGTTGATAGTTCTCTTGATCTCGTCTTTGCAAAGGAAAATGATGTAGTTGATGTTGATTCTCTTGTGATGGGT